GAGAGATTAAGCTAAAAAAAACGATTCTGTTGTAGATTTTAGAATGATCCATAGATATAAATTAAAGGGAAAATGGTTGTGTTTGTCTGAATCTTGTGTTTGAGGTTTATTTGGTGTGGTTTCGTGGTTGATTGAATGGTTTGGGAGCTTAGACGAGGGTTGGGATTATTTAGAGAATACCACTTTTTATTTCAATCGAATGATGGTATTTTTACCTACATGCTAGAAAGGAGTTGAAATATATGACATAAATGAAGGAATAGCAATCGACAGGTAGTAAATAGCGTAGTAGAAATGGAATGTAAAGATCATAAGTAGATGTTAATTAGCAAAGTAATATGTAAACCAGAGTCGTTACTCAAGTAGTTAGCTGCTGTTAGTGGATAGTATATTAATCATGTTAAAAATAAGTAAATAAAGGGACCGAAAATGAAACTGAAACTGAAGAGCTGATAAAATAAAATAGGTGAGATTTCTCTTTTAAATCAGTTTGGTCAATGTACAGTTATAGAGTTGATTGATTTTTAAAAGTATTGTGAAGAAAGATAAAAGACAAAGATGCTAATAATGACAATAGTAGAATGATATTGACAAAAAGAGAAGAGTAGTAGAGAAGAGAAGAGAATAAATCAATAGTATATTATTATAACTGGAATATGAATCTGGTTTTGCTCAATACAAACCTTTTCTGTTTGGCTAGAGGCTTTCTATTTGACAGAATGAAGAAAGAAAAAAGAGTGTTTGCGTTTCTCTTTTATTTTCCCAGCACTTCCCCTCTCTCTAAACTGACTAAGAAGAACAAAATCTCTGAAATGACTGAAAGAAAGAATTGACAGTGTTTCCCCAAGTGTTTTTCCCCCTCTGAAAAGCTGTCCCCCTCTCTTGAAAATTGAGCCTGCTTTTATAGAAAAAGGAGGCGGTGGTTTCTGGGTTCGACCGGACCCATTATGGTTGAACCAGTCGGTCGGGTCGTTGGGCTGGTTTGGATCTGACTCATGAGCATGTCTTGAGTTGGGCCTTGCATCTGGGCTTGACTGACTATTTGACCATGAGATGGATCCGCTTTTGCTTGGGCTCACCTGTGGGCTTGATGTTGGGCAGTGATCTTATGGACTTGTCTTGGATCTGGGCCTGAATTGACTGTCTCCTTTCTTCTTGCAGGATTATGGCGGATGAAGTAAGAGTGCTTTAATTTGTAACACTACTTTTATAATGACGTTGAATAAGTGTAATTTTATGTAGTAATTCATAATTGTAATTTGTTATTCTGATTGTAATTGTAATTTAGCAATAATTTTTAATACAACGTGCTTCTTTATTATTATATTTGTGTTGTGCTAAAAGCTGAGATTGGAAGCCAATCGATCCTATTAGATATACTGGAACCGAATTCGAATAAATTGTACAATCGTTGATATTTTAGACTTGCAATGGTCAATCTAATTATCTTACGACATTTTACGATTTAAGTTGGAATTTTTAGTTGGATAATTTACCCGGACAAAATGAGGTGTCTACAGTTGCCCCCCTTGTATATCTCTTTATATAAAGAGTTATACAAAGTTCCCGTATAGACACTACATTTTTTGCAGTTCAGTGGGGGATTATATTTTGTTGTTGACGTATTTTTTCCGGCGTTCGTCATCGCCCATTGTTAAGTTTTCTTGATGGTGACGTAAACGAAGCGCACGTCAGCGCTAATTGTTGAATTTATATGATGATGACATAAACGAGGCGCACGTCAACACCGATTGCAGGGTTTTTTAGCACTTGTGTATTTTTCAAACGCTCACCAGCGTTAGTGTCGTATTTTTCAGGCGCTCGCCAGCACCAGTGTACTTTTCGAACGCTCACCAGCGTCGGTGTCGTATTTTTCAGGCGCTCACCAGCACCAATGTACTTTTCGAACGCTCACCAGCGTCAGTGTCGTATTTTTCAGGCGCTCGCCAGCACCAGTGTACTTTTCGAACGCTCACCAGCGTCGGTGTCGTATTTTTCAAGCGCTCGCCAGCACCAGTGTACTTTTCGAACGCTCACTAGCGTCGGTGTCGTATTTTTCAGGCGCTCGCCAGCACCAATTTAGTTTGTTTATGGATTAGTTGAGGGCATGTCTAAAGTGAAATAAAGACGAGTTCTAATTGTAAGTGAAAAGCTAATGTCATACTTTTATGAAGTCGGAAACAGAATTGTTGTACTTGAGATCCTGAAGAATGTCAAAATGCGTTTGGAAATGAATGTTAATGAGTATGATTGTTGATATGGTGATGTTGTCTAATGAGTATTAAAATGATTGTGTGTGATGAGTCATACTAATGAATGATAAAGTCGTGAACGTTGTATGAAAAAAAAATGATATGATGCATTGTCAATTGATTTGAAAATATGTTTTTTTTTTGTTTTTTTTTTTTTTTTGTTTTTTTTGCTTTTGCCTTGGGCTCCTTTAAATTGATCTTCCACAAGAACTTGTGTCATTGCCTTTTGTAGCTTTGAACCTTAGTTGTGCCCAATAGCGTGAGCTCTTAATTAGACCTCCTTCGGCCTTCTCGTTGCCCAAGACAGGGTTCTTCGATTTCATTAATGTAGTGTAGCATGACCCTTTTGTCACGGAGCGGTAACTGATTGGTTGAACGTAGTCGAAGGTCCTCTTAAGATTTTTTAGATTTCTAAACTTTTGAGTTGAAAGGTTGGGTACTTTGGCTTGCGAGCATTTCAATAATGCTTCTCTTTTGAGGTAACACTATTTTTGCCCCCAAAGATCTGTCGTTCACTTTCTATTCGATGGAACAAAGAGTGACTTTATCAACCTTAACTTAAGATGAGTGCAAAAATGTATGACAAACGTGGATGGAAAAGTATCATGGGAACTTGGTGTTAAAATTTTCGATTGAGGGAAGCGTGTAAGAATTGGATACAACTTTGTGTGGTTATTTCATGTTGCTAAAGCTCATTTTTGCATTTTTTTTTTATGAGAAGGGAGTAAGTCAAGCCATGAGAAAATCAATAAGCACTCACTCTACTCTCACTTTCGATATCGTGCTCGAATTCAGCCTCACTTATTCCTAAGTGTGCTTAGAGCATATGACATTTCAGCTACCATTAAGATTCAGGTCACTATGAGAGGCCTTCCTTTATGTTGATGGTCAAATATGTTCGGGGTAATGGTTTTTCAAATGAGGAGATTTTTACGAAGTCTGATTGTGGTCCTGTGAAGTTTCTAGTAAAGGGATCTTGGCTTGCCCCCTAAGTATTAGGTTAAAAGATGGATCAGAGTGATTTTAATGGCAATTATCATGGTTTTCCTCGAGCCTTGCGTTCTCAAAAATAGTGGTGGCTTTTGGACATCTTGGGGAATGCGTCTTACGTTTCCCCCTTGTTTTGAGATTTTTAGAAGGTGGGGTCAGGTGGTGAATAAATGAGGTCTTTGTGAATGTGAACTTGGTTATGGGAAGTCTCATCACATAGGTTATTTTCTTAAGGTTAGCCGGCAAATATTTTGATTTTCCGTGAATGGTTGACTTCAAATGCTAATGAAGGGGCCTTTCACATGTAAGTCCCACAACAATTTTCTTTTTCTTTGCTTTTTTTTCTTTGCTTTGTTTTTTTTATTTGTCATGGAACTTACTTAACTTGGTTGTGGCACAACATATGCTTCCCTTATTCTCCCCTCTGACATTTGTATAACCAGACAGAAGTATCAAAAGGTTAATACTTCACAATGTAAGTGTATGTTCTCGTTGGATTGGCTGGTTGGTTACTCCTTTATTGAAGAAGCAGAACTTCTCATGCCATTGAGCTATTTGATTTTTTTTCCTGGTTGGCTTCAGATGTATTTGAGACACCAGCCAAAAATAGAGCACAAAAAAGAAGCACCACATTTGGACATAAGAGCAATTTTGATTAGTAAAGGATGCACACCTAAGATTGACCATTTTGATTAGTTCTTGGACTGCCAGACCTTAGGTTCATCCTTTCCATCATCTCTCTCATTTCAGAGATAACTTTAGCCTGCTCTGCTATTACAGTTGCCAGGTCTGCCTTCTCTCCATTTGATTCCCTTAGTTTGCTTGCCAATTCTGCCCTACTTAATGCATCTGGACCCTTCAAATCCTTAGGCCTCAATCCACCTCCAAACCCAATTATATGTCCATGTCTTTGTTCTCCATAGCACATTTCTACCAACTCCATTGGCTCCAAGTCTTGATTAGCTTCACGTGTTTCAACAAGTACAGCCTATCAAAATCAAAGGAAGTTAGCACTTAGCAATCATAAAACATATTAGCAGTCATATGAACATAACTCGAAACTTGAATAACTAATATTACATGTCTTTCTTTTGCTGCTTGTTCTTTTATTTCACCATTGCTCTTGTGTGTCTCAAAAAACACTTTATCTATAGTCGGAGGAGTTCCATCTTTTCCACCCCAGAAACATGGTTAAATGGAACCAGAATCATTCACTTAAGCCAACCAGTAAGCCAAATAATCAAATCATTCACACTTAAGCCATCTAATCACATCAGTATTCTCATTCAAAGAAAATAAAGCAATAATTCTTCAAATAACAGAACCATATACAGAAACAACACTTCTGCAAAATTGACAGAAGCAGAAACAGAAACAGAAACAACACTTCTGCAAAATAGCACCATACACATGAAAAACAATTCTGCAAAATAACATAAGCAGAAACAGAAGCATACAATTCTGCACTATAAATTAATAAGCTATATAAACAAACATGGCAGCAACATAAACACAAAAAGGCAGCAACAGAAACAAACATAAATGCATTCCATAAACAATTCTGCACTGCAAATTATGTCCTGCAGCTGCAAATGCAAGTTACATATGTTACCATCTCATAAAAGTACTCTCGATTAGGCTTGCTACCACTATGATGATTCATAGTTTTCTTCATTCTATTCAATGCGTTGTTTTTGCTCAATTTATGCAGTGAAAGGAAAGAAATTAGAAACACTCATTTAAATAAATCATATGAAATCAATATGAAGAAATTTGTGTAACAACCTGAAACTCATCGGTGTAGAAAACGTTTGAAACACACCATTCCCAATCTTCTTTGTTACCTACTGCATCTGGCTTATTTTTCAGAGCCTCTTCTTCACAACCACATGGCTTTGCATATTCACGATACAAGACAGATCTCCATTTGTTCCATCGATCCCGCATATGAATTAGGGTATGATACTTGAAGTCTATCATATTGGGATTATAAGAATATTCCTGCAATTGTTATGATCATTAACTTTAGATCTCTTTAAACACTCCTCAAAATGATAACATGTAAAACTTGGCAGTTAAGAATCGTAAGACACAATTTCAGGATGTTTCTTACCGTAAGTGCACCCCACATGTGCTCAAGTTTTGCCCGACTCTTGGACTTCCATCTTCTTGATCTGAACGAGCAAATCTGGGGATTTCTAACAATCAAACCAATAAAGCTTGACCAAGTTGTACACTAGCGATTGACCATCGTAGTTACTCCAGCCCAACAACTTAATAAAAGCAGCCGGCCATCGTAGTGTGATATCTAAGACTAAGACGGCTGATACCCCATTCACTTCTGCCTGTGTGTTGTGTTGTGTTGTGAGAGTTATATATATATATCGGCCGGCAACATATTCCCGGTGAAAGATTTTATATATAAACATTAATTAAGGGTAGGATTGATTATATTAATGCGCTAAAAGTTTGGAGCCTTGCACTCTGTACGTGACTGTGCCGGCGATTTATGTCGATCCGTTTTCTGCCGCTTTAGCGATGCCCGGTCTCTAGCTATATAAATTAAATGGTCATCATCAGCGCCTTCATCTATAACACACATTGCTTATCCATCCACCACTCGACCAGATATAAAGGATACTCGAAAAGGAAAGAAAGCATGAATTCCAAAGCTGTGCTCATCTTTGGCCTTGTCCTCGTTGCTTTGCTGCTGCCTCAGGCAATGTCTGCCCGGCCGGTTGGAGAAACTGGTCAATTATTATTACCTTATCTTACATCGAGATTCATTCAGTATATACAAATAGATGGGTGCAGATAGCAAATTAGGCGAAGGTGGGCAGGTGATGCCAGATGCTTGCTCTAGGGCAGGCAGCAGCTGCGTCAGTGGCCGCTGTTGTTCTTGCAGGACAAGCAGTTCCTTTTCTTGCAACAGGTGTTGCTAGCCCATGCATATTGTCTAATGCCTCTATCCACGTCCTCCTCCAACGTAACGTAAGTTTTTCATCATGACCATTCATTATTACAACTATGAATTCGTGCACCGTCGCTAATCATATAAATTTGTCACTAAAGTGATCATGGTCACCAGCAACTCTGATATCCAACATTAGGGTGGTATTTTTTTCTTGCCGTGAAAGTACGTACGCTGCATATTCGATTATATGCCAACCTTACTTTCGATGGACAAACATGTAATTAATAAGCTACTTTCTATTTTCACCATCTCATACATGTGCTTGAATATGGGATATCGTCACTGCGGGAGCCGAAATACTGTCTTCTTTGTAGTCATGGCATCTATCATTACTACTTTATTGCAATTTGATGTGTGATCACCACGCTGTTTTGGTGAAGTTTGCAACTTTGTGTCTCGTTGTTTCTAATATCTGCTATATGTACTATGTATGACGTCAAATATAATCGAATAAAGATGTTATTATGTGTTTATGATGATTTATTTTTTGTCCGCGTTAATTATAAATTTATAATGCATCGTAGCTAGTAGGAAAGGAATGGGAAAATAATCGCTCATCATGACATTTCACTACAACACAAAAATGGGTTTTTCTGACAGATGAGAATGATTCAAATCAAATCTATTTGGTGATCGAGCAAGTATTTTTGGTTGAAACTTTGGTCATGTACATGCCTTGTTAGGAAAACTATTTTATTTTTCATTTATCATCAATTATACTTGACAGAGTGCTTTAAGCAATCATGCCTACTCTAATATTGAAACATAGAAATATCATGTAAATTCAAAGGACAATTCATATGAGTATATGCCCTATAGCGGCAAGATACCCCTTCATTAGTTTATATTCAATTCCCTTTTATTTTGTTTTATGCGATAAAATCAAGGGAACCTCAATCCCGGAGGTATCCCGACATTAATAGTCCATTTCAAACCCATGAATAGGTCATGTTCCTTTACTGACTGAATAAGTGAATGTGAGAGGTCTTGAGGAAATAAAATATTGATTGCCAACCAGGTAAATTCAACTCCTCTTGTGCAACGGATCAACAACTGAGCAACATAGCAACAAGAGCATATGCTAGAATTTCAACTACATGGTTTTTATTAATCATGGTTGTCCAAAGTTTGACGAAATCGAAAAAAAGCTCATTCGGCGGTAGCAAACGACATTTTTTGTGACGAAGGTGGGACCGTACCACCTTCGGCAGTCTTCGACTTGCAAAATCTCGAAAAGTTATGCGGAATCAAAAAAAAATTCGCGACGATCGGATACCCGAACACAAAGATACGTTCGTTTGAAGTTTCCACCTAGGTTAGGATTTTTCAAAAAAAAAAAAAAGCAGACCACATCGTGGGGGTGCGGTCTGCAACCAAACCGCATGGTGGGGGTGCGGTCTGCAAAACCGCCCCCTACCAGTGCGGTTTTCATCGAAAAACGCGCTCCCGGGTGACGGTTTTCGCCTAAACCGCTGGTACGGGTGGCGGTTTTGCAGAAAGGGTGCTATTTTTGGAATTTTTCGGAGTTGGGTGCTATTTTTGGAATTTTTTTTTAACAGTGCTACTTTTGGAAAAATCCCAGAGGTCCATGCCTATTTAGCCTATTTAGGAGGAGGGGCATGGACGCGAGTAAGGCTGGAAGTTTGGTACCGGTATTTGGGATATATTGAATACCGTACCGAATTTGTCTATATTTGGTATTATCGAATACACGTATTATTTTTTGGGATTGGAATTGAATTTCAATTGTTATTCGGTATTAGAGATTACGGGATTGGGATCGGTATATACCGAAATACTGATCAATACCGAAATATAAGCTAGTGTGTATTTTATCCTCTCAACTAGACTCTCTCATTCCCTGCTACATGAACCTAAACCACCAAGAGTGTCATTTAACTATACATAGATCATTCTATCACTATTAGTAGTCGTCTCTCAACCTCCAATTCGTCAAATTAACGATTACCAATGACAAGAACTTGAGATGTCTCCTCTCCTCCATTCTCCTTAATAATATCCTAATTCAAGATACTTTACTTAGTCTTTTCCCCCTAAATTAAACAATAAAATCTAATTCATATATTTAATTATTAATTGCAAAGGTAATTAATTTTGTATTCGATAATACCGATTGGATACCGAAGTACCGATAAAGGAAACTGAAATATTTAGGGATTGGGATACCGACATTATTTATCGATTGGGATTGGGATTGACTTTAGGGTGTAATTCGGTATTCGGGATTTTGGTATTTGGTATTGGGAAACCGATACCGTACAGATTTTCACCCCTAGACGCGAGGCAAGAAGATACTATTGAAAAATATTGAGTATGAGAAGATCATATCGTGTCACGGGAAGGGTCACAAACATGGCTGAAGTCCATAGTTGCGAATGAAGAGGCCATGCCTCCTCATGAGAAGTCGAAGACCGAACGACCCAAAATATTCTAAGTCTGGGAGGTCCATGCCGATTCACGAGAAGGGCCATAGACACGAGTCAATAGCTCTAGGCATGACTGAAAAATATTCTAAATCTGAGAAGGCTATACCGCCTCACGAGAAGAGCAATCTGCATGATTAAGAGGTCCATGATTGATGCGGCCCCAAAAGCAGCGGAAGGTCAAATGACAGAGGGAAATAGCCGGCCAAGGAAGCCAAATACCTGACCGGGTATTGTGGGGCACCGACCGGGTATTTGGGCAGCGACTTGACTTTTTGGGCAGAAGGTCCCCCAGTCGTGGAGGATAATTACCCGACCGGGTATTTATAGGTCTAATCGGGTTTTGTGACCTAGGTGACGGGAATTTGGATTTTAAGTTGTTCTTTTTTTTCTTTTTATTTGCCTGCACCTATATAAAGGCTGAAACTCGGATTTTAGAGTTAGTTTTTAGCAGAATATTGATTTTTACCTTGGTTTTGAGCTTGAGGCTTGAACTTTTCTCTGTATGAATCAAGTTTTCCCCTTGAACGACTTTTTAGTGAAGAGGTTGACTGTTTGTTGAATATAGCAAAATTAAAGATAGTATATTTGGTCGGCTATTCCAACAATGAGTTTGACCATTTAGTCCAAATAGATCGACCATATCAGTGAAGAGGTTGACCGTTTTGTCCAAATAGGTCGACAATATCAATGAAAAGATCGATCGTTTTGTTCAAATCACGTTGACTTGCAAATCACCGTAGCAAAGTTCTAATGCCTTATACTTAATGCTTAGACAGACAAATCCACCCAAATGACCATGATAGCTTGATTGAAAACCTATCCAAAGACAATTCCTTTTCTGAGTTCATCCATATGGGAGAAAAAAGAAATGGACCGTCTCCAGCCCCTGATGCGCCTCATTCACTTGCCATTTTATTTCCTATTTTTTTATTGTGACAATAGAAATTGAATTAAAAAACAAAAAAAATGGGTTCACTTGTCATCTTGTTTTCATTTGGAAAACCCATAAGGCAACTAATGGGTAGCTGCTAAGAAACGATAAATAGGAGTTTCCTGGAAATTGAGGACATGGGTTTCTCCCTGTTTCCTGGCGGAAAACAGTGTTAATTCATTAACGAAGTCGATATTTCAAGTCACCATGCCTACCATTTATTTTTTACCCGTGTGGCTTATCTTAGCGCCCAATCCTTCCTCCTAATTCCCTAACCTGACATCGAAAATTTTCAAGCCTGCATTTCTATTTCGTCTCGAGCAGCCACTCGCCCGCTCTTTCCCCATCGATCTCCGATCTGAGCTCCTCCCCAAAATCCAATTCAAACCTCCTCCAACCACTTCGTCCTCCTCCTTCTCCAGCGGCCGCTCATTCCCCATCAATCCCCACCGAGCTCCTTCCTCACACTCCAATTCGACCGAGAATGCATGCAGTTATCAGTTTAGAGAGAACCAAAGTGCGGTTGCATAATCGAACCCCCGTGTCTTGGTTCTCGGCAGGCAATTAAAGTGGCTCCCATAAATAGAAGCAATGGTGAGACCTCAATTCAGAGAAGGAATTTTGGGAGATTAGTGTTCTACTCCCTCACATTGATTATAATATAGTACTTATATAATATAATATAATATATTGTAATTGTATTGTGTTTATGCATTTATTAGGTATTTAAAAACAATATGATTTGTAATTAAAATTATAATAATAGATTAGAGTTGTATGATACCTAATGAAAAAAAGTGCTAATCGAGTAAAAAAAAACATAATGAAATAACTAAACAGGTTTTCATTTTTAGAACTATCAAAATTTTCGATTATATAAAAAAATTCAGATTTTGTTTCACAGTAAATGACAACTTTGTTTTCATTTTAATGTTTTTTCTATTGTCAATTATGGAAAACGGAATTTCAAGTGAACGCGTCATTAGTATATCTCGACCCAGAAGTCCCCACAGGCCCACACACATACTTCCATCTTGGCCTTCTATTTGATTGATGATGTCAGCCTGACAATTATCTTTTCTCTCTTTTACAGTTTTGTTTTATATATATTTAAACACGTGAAAAGGAAATAAATAATTTCAAATGAAGACAAAATAATTCCAGCTCTGAGTAACTGGCCCCGATGGCGCAGTGTGCACCTTTCCTTCAGTATTTTCTTCACATCATAGCTGGATTATTTACCCCCCACATTTCTTCACTTGCAATAAATAAATAAAATAATTAACACCAATGTAAAAATCGAATTAAACGATATTATTCGTTTTGTACTAACAACCAACAATATAATAATAAACCTATTTTTAACTCTCCCTTTTTTGTGTGCTTTTTGGAGAACATGAACAAAACCCATTAACAGCTTGGCATTGTTGATCATTTCTTCTCTTTCCTTTTTCAGTACTAGCACAGGACTCGGCCCGTTGGCCGGAAGAATTTATCGATGAATATGATATATAATAATGGATATATAATAGATAATTAGAAATGCATAAAATGATTGTTTCCTACCTTTGTTATGCACATAACATATTTGAAAGTGATCCTACTATGCATAATGTGTTTAGACCTCCATGAAAAGAGAAAAAAATATAATATAAGTATTACTTATAATTATTAAATTAACAAAGAAATCAATATAACTAATTGTCATTCATTACTTAATTAAACCATATAGTTGAATATTAGAGTTGTTTCTCATAATACATACATAATTAACTTTTTAAGATGAAAGAAAATGTCTCTCATAGAGTTTAGTATGTCCTTTAGTTTTTCCCCAATAAAGAGCATTCTTTTTTACCACACCGTTGTTAATGAATCTGAAGTTGCTTGATTTGAAATATATAGGACATGATATTAAATTGTCGCTAATAGTTAGTTGGACAATATGTTGTGCATGGACTTCCCAAATTATCTCAGATAGCATACATGTCTAGCAACAATATAGTAATTTTCATGCAACAAATATTTTTTTCATGAAATAATTAAATTAATAAAAACCTATGAAAATCATATTACATGAAATATATGTTATTCATTAAGTTGATGAATGAGCGAGCGTATAAGTAGCATACATTTATTTTAAAAATATAGAAGTTGCAAAGTGTCTTTTGGGTTGAATGAGATCGCATATTCTCATTATCGCTAACTGACTTATGCTTTTTTGTAATAGATAGTTCAAAATGTATCTTAAAACTTTTGTTACCACGTAAAAGAATTGTTTGAACAAAATGATTGTAATAGTATCAACAAATTTGGTAGTATAGTATTTAATACTGAAATCATAATTTAACTGTGGTTCAACCGTTTCGTATTGCTAAATATCACGTATCGATTTAGCCTATGGTGTGAAGTTTTATGGTCAAACCGCCAGTATGTACGATCTTTCAATTCAAACTTTAGATTAAAAACCACTAAAATATTGACATTATCAAATACCCTTAAATCTCAGAAATTACCATAATCGTATTAAGAAAAAAAAATCATCCAAATGATAATATTGATTTAGGATTTTAAGGGGTCGTTTGAAAGTTGCAATTGTTAAATAGATGTTTTGTTGTGAATGCATGTATAATATTATGTATGTATTGTCGGATTAGATGCATTGTGTATGTCACATAAACTAAAAGTTGAGACAAAACAATCTCAACTCAACAATCACAACAAAAAAGTTGAGATATAACAATCACTCATTCTGAGTGATAGTTTCTGTCACATCACAGATGTAATCCATGTATTATTTCTACTAAAAAATAAAAAATGATGCATTCTAAACAATAAATTATAGTAACAATCTCAACAAAACAATTGCAACTTTCAAACGACCCCTTAATTGAAATGGAAAAAAAATCTATCAAATATAATATCATCTCCTAAAATAAATCAAAACTTAACAGGGCCAAGAATACCCACTAAGCAAAGCAGAAAGACAATAATTTCACACTACTTCATTTTCCCTCTCTTTTAAATGTGTCCTCTCACTCTCTCTTATGTCCCTTTCAATTGCCATTTTGTTTTCTGTTTTCTGGTGTGACAACAAAAATAAAAAACAAATGATAAGAAACGTGTTGACTTGCAATTTCATTATCATTGGAAAAAACCATGGGGAATAAAAGAGGCAGTTGGCAGAAACAATAAAAGATCGTTTGCTGGAAAATGAGGGACGAATTTTCCCCGTCGCCCAACGAGTGACGCCCCCATTCCTTTTAATGAGCCCAGCGTTGGAATCCCTCGACCACTTTTTTCTCCCTTTTGTTCACTTAGACCAACGGTGTCGTTTTGCTAACCCCAACTCACATCGTTCTTCTCCCAGCCTCACCCAAACTCGACCTCCCCATCGAATGAAGCTACTACAATCCGCCTCTTCTTCCTCTAGTGGAGGGAGAGAAGATTGATCCGGTGAGCTCCTTCTCAAATCGGCGAAGCTCCAGCTAGCGAGCTCCTTCTCCAGTCGGTGAACGATGAGTTTGCTTTGAGAATGCTAGCAGGTATTACCCGTCCACCGCCTAAGTTAATCATTCTCAAGGGCCTAGATCCTCGAGGTCATATCAACATAGGTGTGGATTAGGTTGGATGAGACGGTGATGGCTACACTTGCCCAACAGGTCCTCGATAATCCACTTTGTTTTTACGTTTGTTCGTCCATCTCTCTCTCTCTCTCTCTCTCTCTCTCTCTCTCTCTGAGTTTTGTATCTCACCACTCTTCCCCTTGCCCTTTTCTTTCTTCCCACCGCCTGGAATCGAGAGAAACCTAGAAACATCTCAATTACTTCTTCAATTTTGCGTTCGAAAGGCTTCTTCTCCATTCACAGTCGATAGTGTGAATCAAATGACCTGAAACTTGGCGAACAGATGACCGCTTATTCCTCTCAGATGGCGCATTTCTCCATAAAACATGAGTTCACCAATCTAGACTGTGTAGTGTTCGCAATCGTGTGCGAGCTCTTGAAGTTTAAGTCTGGTACGACCCATGAAGCATTCGTGCTTGTATAGGGCCGATCCATATACATTGTCTTCATGGTATGCTCTAACTGTGTAATGCTAGCTCGACCATGTGTCTGGGTATAGTTATATGCATTATAATAATTAAGTTTTTACCTATTCGCAACACCAAGATAAAAAAAAGTCATAAATGCACCCAAAATTTTATTTTGACTACATGATAAAATACTACATTTGAACCAACTACCAGTGATGCCATAAATAATAAGTATATCTCTAAATCATACATAAAATATTTCAAACATCACAAATAATAAGATTAAATTAATTATTATAAAGAGTAAAAATTGTATAATGAGGTTAACTATAACTCATTTATATGTTAATGCCCTTAAATTGGTCAAACAATCAAAAATGGCTAAATGAACATCACATTAAATCCAATATCGTCTTATTATTGTCAGGTCCATTCATCCATATTAGCAAGAGGTTTAATTTTTAGCAATTACCCAAGCTAAAATTTTAGAGAACCAATCATCTATAGTTTGTACGAAAATTTTTTCGTAGTAGTTCTGAAAATTTATATTAATTTAAAGAATTCTACATCTCTTTTGCATATTCAATACTGCAATTCGATATGCAATATTTCAAGCATTGAATTTTTTGTTGCAATTTTAAGATTACCCGTCATTTTATAGGTTATAAAAAATTATAAATCACGTATTAAACTTTGCTTTTTAGAAGACTTAATAGGCTAGCTAACCGTGATGGAAAATTCATCTGCTTTTCAAATCTTCATCTTCGCTAAGTGTGTGCTTACAATTGAATAAAAATAAACCAAATTATTATATCTTATATAAAGTAATTAATTGTGAAATCGAACTCAAGTAACATTGATTCAAACATTAAATATTAAATTGTATGTGTGGTACAGTTTAGATAGAATACATGTGTGTAGCCAAAATATAGGTCTTCGTGACATATATAGTAATTTTTTGTGACAAATCTACAGATAATATAAAGATAAATTTGGCGCTATGATGAAAAAGAGGTTCGTAGAATCACTCTCAGGCCACGAAATTTAAAAGGAGACTCTCATTTTCCAATTTTATCATACTCGTTACAAAGGTCCATGTTTTGGTTACATTTCTGTATTTTATCTAAACTTATCTAAGCTAAACTACACATACAATTTAATATTAATGTTTAAATCAATGTTACTTGAGTTTTGATTTTAGAACAAATGTATTTCTATAAAATTATAAATAACTTAAGATAAATTATAAATATAGAAGCATTATCACCAAATATATTCGTAGAGTTTAATGAAAAATATAACAATAAACACAATGTAGTCTAGTTGGTTATAATATTCTTTTATCATTGAAGTGACTAGAGTTGAACTCTGATTTTAACATTTTTAATGTATAAAGATGAAGTGAGTGCAATGACAAAAATGATCCTACTAGAATTACTCTAAGACCACAAAATTTAAAATAAGACAATTCCAACCCATATTTTACCTTTATGTATCTTGTAGATTCAATTTTTCTAATTACTACAACACCGCAATCCCACCCTTGGTGAAATTTGGGCCAATGATTACCTATAAGAAAAACACCAGCCCAGAATTCGGCTGGGCTGGGCCGGCGAAGTGACCAAACATGAATCCATACGCTAATCAGTTTTAATTTCCGCTTCTTCTCCTCTTGCTTTTTTTTTTATTTCTTCTTCTAATCAAAAGTTGGAACTACGTCTCCAGAAAACCAGTCATCCGCAGAATCGAATTCCTGACTTGGCTCAAATCTCGCCCCTTCAACGTCCGCCCGTTCCCCGTGCAAACGGAGAACGCCATTTCCCCGGCCACCCTCCTCGCCAGGATGACGTGGGGAGGGACCACCAATCCTTGGGCTTCCTCCTCTTCATACTCATCATCCTCCAAATCTCCGAACCGGAAAACATTAGCTGGGATGTCTACCGGGACCGAGGAAGCAGCAGCACTGTTATCATTAGAACTACTACTGCTCCATTTCTTCTGCTTATTGTTGCTGGACCTCGGCTGCCGTCGGATGTCGTGACGATGATGATGATGATGATCTGTGATTTCTCGGTGGTGGTCGCCGGAGAAGAGCACGTCGGACTCCTGGAACTCTTCCACCGCCGCCATGGAAAAAGAGATGAATAATAGATAATAATAAAAAAAGTGCGGGAGGTGGATGGATCTGGTGGAAGGATTGGCGGTGGGAAATGAGGGAGAAGAAGCTAGCAGCAGGATCTGAAATGGAGGGGAGGGAGAGGGATTTTGGTATATATAGAGGAAGAGGAGAGTAGAAGGGATTGGGGAATTTTTGGGATTGATGAGCGAGCAAAATGCGTGGGGAGGACTTGAGGAGGAGTACTCTTTTGCGTTGTGAGATGTCGTCACACCAAAGGCGTTTCTGAGACAGAGTGTGGGCCCCCTCACTCCCCATATTTTATGTGTCGTCTAGCGGGTCTAATCTTATCATTATTTTATTCAAAAAAATGAGATTTCCCCATCTTCTAACCGATTTTCTAAATTAGATTCCATGACCTTACTTAACCAACCATAGGCAATAGTTATCGTGAACTCTTTGTTTATGATGACAAGAAAAAGTAGACTGTTCGTTGAAGAAGTTTTTTTTTTTTGTCCGTTAAACCAAGGGCAACCAAAGAAATGTAACTTTAACATTTTCAATTTTCTTCCGACAATATATTGTTCGCTTTGTAATTATATCCTCACAGATTTTGTTTTGCGATGCATATCAAGGTCAATTCCTACAAGGTCACCCATTCCTGCAATGCTCCACAGTGAGCACGTTTAACTACGAAGTTCTTATAAGAACAATTCCATTTCACCTCAAAACGCGTTTTGTGAATTACTGTCACTTATGAATTATGGATCTCTCTCGTTCTTTGTCGATGTGATATTTGTCTACGGTCAAGTGTTGCAGTAGCTCTCGTTGCTACGTTGAAGATTGAGGTTCCTTACAACATCAGTTACGTAATTGCTCTATCTAACTAGCTTTTATTTCTTGATTGCTAAAATGACTATATATATGGCAGAGGATAACTTACGCCTGACATACCTATACACATACATTCACATCTATTATTTGTAAATGGATAATTCCGATGAATCATTGTTAATTTTTATTTTAAGATTAAATGAATATGAAGATTTTGATTAGAAAATGAGAGCTGAGATTTATCTATTTTTATTTTGTTAATAATATCATGGCCCTAGTGGCTAGCGAGATATGAGATATCTTCAACAGGGGAATCTCCGTTGGATAAAAGTTTTGGTGTGAAGTAATGATAAATCGGCGGCCTAAGCTTAGCCCTTCTCTTCTCTTCTCTTCTCTGCCCTCTTTGGCTCTTTCGTCTACCCGGCTGCTACAGTAATTACTTGAGCCTCACGGCTTCTTGTTGTTTAGCTACGTTACACGGGGGACTTGGCTGTTGCTTCTTGTCAACTCGCTTGTTTAGCTAACTTATGTATATGTCTACACATTTGGCTTCAACCTGTCCTATTTGTCTTGACTTCTGGGTAAGTATAAATTTCAGCTGCATTTTAGTTTACTTACGTGCCCAATAAAGAAAAGGCCAGAGAGGAATTGGAAGTGATTATGGAAACAATCAATTGCCTAATTTCACCTTGTACTGTAAGCCTGTAACTTGCATCTAACTAAAACTGTACTTTTGTAATATTATACTGAATTGATCCATCAATTTATTATAAGATAGTAATATAGTAGGAATGAAAACATGCAACTTATGCTGATATAACGACTTTGTGAAACTCTGTCATTTAAATTCGGTCGACGGTTCTCAATATTAACAGTTCATTCAAGTACATAACATATTGGATCTGTGTAATCTTCAAACCTATGAGTTGATTTCGTTCGAGGAGACATATATATGACTGATTAAAATCATACATAGAACTCGAGTCATTATATTGTCTCAAAAAGTGGGTTAGTGTTTTCATTTGAAAGCAATCCTATATGATAAGACGGTCAACTAGTAGAACAAAAAAAGTTGCCGATGTAGGCATGCATGTCATCTTGAGCACATCTGTAAACCCTGCCAATCACATACAATATATATCTCTATATCGGGCGACCATTACCTCCTACCGCGTAAAGAGTTGAACAAGTGACATTGTAATCAAACCGATTCTGACAATGTCTTAAACCAACTTGTCCGAACAACTTAAAATGTTGAAAAAGCTACATGTAGCTGTATCAACCCACTCTCAACACAAACGACGAGCTCTCTAGAAGCAATTTAGATAAATGGAGGCAAGCGGAGCTATAAATTGGCAGTGAAAGAGCGTACACGCCACCATAGGGAATGAACGTGGCGTTGACATATGTATGGCAGTTATGAGGTGTGATTATGTACATTGTTTGACTTGTAAGAAAAGGGTTGTTTGAGATATAGTAGTAATGGGATAACTGTTTAAATATTATGTTGAACTTACGTTCGATCGGGTTACGTTGGACGAAGAAGGAAGCCAAAGAAAGATTAATGAAAAAAGGAAAGAAAATGAGTGGAGGATATATTGCTAATGCTAGCGAGTAGCGAGGGAGGGTATTATCATATAGAATAATAATATATATGAAGAAGCGTGGGCGGCGCAAAGGTAGCAAGTGGAGGAAGGAACGGCGTCGACGGCCGCATCCGGCGCCTCGTCCTCCGCAGCAACCGCGTTACAGGCTAGCTAGATCGCAGGAGGTGGAGTAAGGAGTTTGCGTTGCGGCCGCGGTGATGATCTGAGTGTACAAGGTCAACTTCCGCAATAACTTACTATCAAATCCCTGCATTGGGGATCAACGGTGGGAAGGGAGAAAGGGAGGCAGAATTGGGAAACAAGCAAGGAGAAATGTATAGTTTATGCTAAAGATGTTGATGAGGGGGCTTTTACACATGCTCAAATGCATTTGACACGTATGATTTACTTGTTAAATGAAGTGGTATATATAAGATTTATTTTGTTTATAACATCCAAAATCATGGATATCGTCTAAATTTTCGATAGACGTAATTATGCGGTAACTGTTTAATTCTAAAGGGATTCTAAAGGGATGCACGGGCATGTTACCATCCAACATAATATGGTGGCAATCTATGGCACACGACGGATGGTTGTCATGCCATGGTGATGTGTCTAGGGACCAGGGGGCGACCTAGGTTAAGAGGAACTGAGGAAGTGTGTCAAGCGACACATCTCCACCAATATTTTGGTGAAAATTCATGTCTCGCCATTATAAAAAAAATTATGAATGATGCAAGTAGGACCCTCGCGACATTATAAAAAGTTGAGAGTAGGATCCTCGACATACCGCTAAAAGTTGCAGTTGATACATTCGTTGTAATTGCAAGAAGTGAATGATTTTTTTTTTCTCCTATGAAGTTGATAGTAAGTGATACTTGAAAACAGATTAGCAACCAATTTGTCAATGATTCTTAATGGGACAACAACCTAATCACAAGGCAGACTCGAAATGGAGATTGTGGGTGTTGTTTTTGGGAAGAGGAGAGAGATAGTGGTTAAAGAGCTCTCCACATAAAATTTTAAAGCAGTTGTTTGAGAGACAAATCAAATCACAAACAATTTGGTCGAATATTACCTTTACCCTTTAGAGCCATAGTTTTAGTGGTAGTATTAGAAACGTTTTTCGAAGTTCCTCTTTAATTGTAGTTGTAGTAGTGAGTGAAATTCTCGACGAATCTTCAAAGAAGTATATATATAATTTGTAGCATAAATTCTTTTCATGTATCCATAATAAAAACACTCATTTGAACGATATTGAAAGATGAGTGAACCAAATAACAATAATTTTCTCTATTTTTAGGACGAAATTTGCAAAAAGCCCGAATATTAATGATATCCATCGACCATCATCCAAAGGACAAAAGGTAAGGGTATATAATCAGGGGCGGACCCAGGGTGGTTTAGGGGTGTCCCCGGACACCCCTAAATTTTGAGAAAACGATTATCCAACCCCCGGTAGTAATTTATGTATGGACAAAAAAAAATATAATTGATAGTGAGGGATACCCCTTAAATTTGAAAAAATGATTATCCTACTGTCATTTGTGTATAGGAATATAAGTGGTAGGTTGGATGATTCAAATCTAGAGTACTATTATTATTAATAAACTTAATTTCCATTGAGCTAAACTCATTTGTTGTTCGATTTTGAATAATGTGTAATAGTAAAATGGCATTCCCTATCTCTAATTATTTTAAAACCCTAACAATTAAACTAATTTCAAACTACCCTTAATTTGTATTGATTTTATGATTGTACGGCAAGTGTTGAAAGAGTCTTTCAACTTTGGGTTATATCAAGAACAAGTTTACAAATCGAATATGCGATAAGTTCGTGAATGATTGTCTAGTAGTGTATATAGAGACAATTTTTTTAACACTATAAACACCAAGTGTATTCTACAATTAATTTCGAATATGAAAACACATCATGGATTTTTTAACCTGTACGAATAAGGTATTTTCATATTTACAATTTTATTTTTATTAATTATTTTTATTTAATTAATTTTTTAAAAGAGGACACCCCTATGAAAATTTTTTGGGTCCGCCACTGTAATTGACCCTCCCTAGCTAACAAATTCCAGCACGAGGGTTGTCTTTTGTTTAATAGAACATAGAGATTAGATTAGATTAGATAGGAAAAATGTGCCTTAACTTAATCCACACAGATTATTGGAGTTGTGGTGGCCCGTGGGAGGGAATGCATCATGTCCATGTGGAAGAGGAAGGTAACAGACAGACACGTGGGTGGGTGGGTCATCATTATTATTGTAGCCACAGAATCTGGGAGTTATGCGGATTTGGAAGCTACAGAGGGTTCTTGTTTTCAGGTGCCACGTACCCCCACCCCCTTCGTTTTCGTGCAAGTCATTCTTTGTTTTGTGGCCAGCTACCTGCCTGCTGTGCCTCTCTGTTAGTTAGTTAGTATTGGACAATTGTTACATTTAACATACAAGAAACATCGTTACGATATTTGAGTGAAAAGATACTAAACTTTATGTAAAGATGTGTTTTACGTACGCACACAAGAATTTAATCCAAACCCTTACAAATAATGACATTCCACAATATAAGATGTATGGAATGCAGCGTGCACATGCCTTCTCCATCCAAAAATCCAAGCAAAAACTTATTCAGGTTGACAGGTTGTTTCCATTGTGGTTGGTTAGGGACTTAGGGGGCCATGCAATAATGCCTA